CACCATGAACTCTAGAAGTCTTAAATGTTTTCCAAAAAGTGCAGTGCCCTTTCTTTCTATTATGATGCAGTCATGACCATGTGCTTTATTTTGGAGTTCTGCCTCCTCCCCTTCTTCACCACTCTATCCCCCCAAAAAAGAAAAAATAATTAGAACAAGAGGTACACGTCTCAGAGCTTTTGCTTGATGAAACCTCTCAGGAGTGTCCACATTTGGGATATATGGATTGCTATTTTATTGAAAAACTGAGCTGAGAGTAATACTTCATCCTATTACATGTTCAGTTCTCAGCCACTGATTTCACAGAATGACCCTACATAGAGATGTCCCTCTGGGCTTCTGTGGGCTTATGTATGCATCGTCTGAAAAGTGTCTTAAGCCATTGCAGCTGTAATGCTCTAGCTTTTTACACTCTTCCAAAATATGCAAAATTAATGAAGACAGGTAAAACTGACATTTTCACAGGGATTGCCTTCACAGATTTAAGAGTTCATTTAGTTCCAGTTTCAGCTCACTGCAAAAAGTTTAAGGTGTTGTTCATTTGTTGATGAAGTAATGTAAAATAAAGTTTACCACTGTTTTCCAACACAACTGCGTATCTCTATTTTTGAACCCATTGTTGAATTCCTCTGATAGCCCTGGCCAAATCTGGATTTCTATTTTAAACTGGGCAAGATAAATCTTATATTTGGGCTGCCAGAAGCTCATACAGCTGTGTTGAAGAACCATACTATAATATTCCTAAGGGCATCTAAGTATATGGAATATGCTGTTGTATATATGCTGATATATGGGCTTTTATGTACAAGTAAATTGATCAGCTCCTAGCAGGAGATTGTTCTTGTGCTAGTATTAACAGAGATAGCATTAATACAACATTAGTACAGTTAAGTGCTTTCATTCATGGGGAATTGTGCATTGTATCTTTTGCCAATTCCGTGTTATTCATGGCTTTTAAAATGGCATATGGTTCTATTCAGACATTTTAAGGTCAAGCTATTGACTGCACATTCATACATTCGTGTATTCGTGAACAGAGTATTTCTTCCTTCCTCCTCTTCTCTCTCAATAATTTATATCCTCAACCTTTTTTTTAATTTTTTTTAAACAGGCATTATCTCTAAGAGTGTGTCCATGCAGTATCTGTGTAGCATGTACTTAGTTTATACAAATGAAAACAAGAATATGCTTATGATACCCAGAAAATAATCATTTCACAATGGTTTTTGCTACCTCTACAAGTGGTAGGAAGCACTGAGGTGAGAGGGAAGGCTTTTCCATTACCTTGCTTTTGTGCCTTAGACCCATGCTGAGCAGAGGTAAATGGAGGTGAGGGATGTTCACAGTGTCAGCCACTTCCACCTTCCCTGGTAAATCTCTCCCATGTCCTCCAAAGGAGGGTTAAGAGCCATGGGTGGCATCAGTTAGCTACTCTGTCCAGGAGACCATCTTGTGCTCTAGCTCTGCCATGCTGTGCCATATGCCTTGGTATTTTTTCTCTTCTGGCACTTTTCATGACTGGGTTCTTTGACACCATTTAGCAGTAGCGGTGCTATTTCCCACTTTAACTGCTTCTTCTCTTCATTTATTTATACTTGGGATTGGCATCAGATACAGCCAGATGGAGAGTTGGCTCTCTGCTAGAAAGTTCAATTTTCCTTTTCCTCAGACTGTTTAGTTGTCTGTTCAGTCATGTAACTGAGCATCTAAGTTTAGCTGGTACATTTACTGTGTGTAATTCACTCTGATGTAAAAAAAAAAAAAAAGTGCCTTTAACAGTACCTTCTGTCAGCCTTCTTACCAGGTGCGGATGTCATCTTCTGCTGTTACCAATCCTGAAAGCAAGTAAGAGCCTTACTGTGAGTTTACTCCACATAAAAACTCATGAACAAGGCCTGTGTAATAATAGCTTTACTGCAGTTTAAAAGGAGGCTTAGGGGGAGCAAAGGGATTCTTGATCAGGTGTTTCTTCTTTAATTTTCTCTGAAGGCCTCTGCCTGAAACTCTGTATTGGATTGTCCTGTTTGAAAGGAACAAGGCTGCCTATAGATATATACTTTTTGAGCTTTTGCAAAAATACAGGTGGGTTATATGGGTACCCATGTTCTTGAAAAAACGTGTATTTTCCCAACTGCAGTTAACTTCCTTGTATGGATGGTCTGGGGGAACCTTCTCCACTGTAGCAAGCAGCACCTGCTTCCTCCCATTAGCCCACTCCTTCTCTACCCTTCCAGCAAGGTCCTGTCCTGGACAAATTACAGCCTGGCTAAGGACATTGGAGAAGGAAGGGATTTGTACGTGTAGTTGTTTCCTGTAGTGCAGAAGTATGATACATGAAATGCAGAGGTCCCTCTGACACACTTTAATCAGTTGTTCTTCATTCTCTATTTCAGATCTCTGGAACAAACCCATTAATAAGTAGTATGAAATAGCGAGATGTTTTCTATACAGAATTTATATTTCTGTAGAAATAGGAAAGCCTAGTAATGGGGAAGTAGAATTTCATTTTCCAGTTTATTAGCTCAAATCCCTCTGAGGCTTGTCATGAAGTCTTTATGGGTTTGTAATGGCCAGTGTGAAATTTGGCCAGGCCTACATTGCATAGTTTTGCAGTCGTACCTGTATTGGATGGGGGCTGAAGAACTCTGACATCACATTGCTGGCAAAATCCCAAGTGTAGGTCTGATGTCCTGACGACAGAGACCTGGTCTTGGTTCGACTCATATCATTTGGGGTTTTGCTGCTGTACCAGCAGAGAACTGCTTGTGAGGTGCACCTACCCCTAGGATTTATGCATACCTAGCTGTGGCGGCAGGGGCTCTGCTGCACAAGCAAGGCTTGGAGGTGGTCTTGGCCAAGCTATTAGGGACAGATGCTGTGTAAAGCAAATTAATACAAATCAGCCCAAACTTCACTACCCACAGTGTGTGGGAGTATCTGCCAGAGTTCCTACTGAATTATTCACTCCTCTTTAGAGGTTATAAACATTGTGTGCCTTCATCCAACAAACTGATTGATTTTAAAACTTAGATTTGCATGGGAACTTGGATTAGAATCACTGATATTTATTTTACAATAAGCACATAGCTTGTTAACAATCTGATTTGGTGCAGTTTTACTACAGAGCCTTTTGTGTTTCAGCTGTATCTATTATGGCAGAGGGCATCACATCCTAATAACGTGTACGGTTTGACTAAATATCTTTTGGCACTCTGAGGAAAAAAGAAGCAAGGCTAGGGAACAAGAAAACAACTCCTTGATACCTGTCTATGCAGTATGTATGTAGACCTTTCCATGCTGTTTATTTTTATCCTTTTTTTCAGTACCACGTAGAGAACAGTCCAAGAAAAACTATTTGAAGTGTTGTAGGCAGGAAAGAAATGGTACTTACACAACATATTATGGCTACCTGCAACCTCTAAAGTCTCCCCATTAATCTGTAATCCTTCTGCAGGGTTTTTGTCTCTCTGAATCCATTCCCTTCCTGCGGGGGGCAGTGACATGTTTTTTCTTTGTGTTTTAGGAAGCTGGTAAATCTAGCTTAGCAAGCAGGGAGGTTATTACTCATATTAGTAAAACTTAGAAAGCAAAAAACGTTTCTTCTATTACTTGAGCATCAAAAATGTACGTTGTACAACAGGTTTGTCCAGATGCCCAACACTACAGAGCAGATTCTTATTGCAGTTAGAAGATGTTGACAATTTCATCATGTTTGATGTTAATGGGCTTTTAGATTTTTTTTCCTTCTTTTTGGTGAGATTCAATCTGGCCTGTATTGTGCAAGAATAAGAGATTGAAATTATGAAGCATTTTATGTGTGCTAGATTGTCTTGAGCTGAAAATGGATACTCTTTTGTTGAAAGCATATCTTCAAAGCTAAATTAATTGGTTTGTGCAGGCTACGCTCAGTAATACCAGAAGGAATTAGGTAGGGCTAAGGCAAATCTGATTGTTTATTTAGAGAACTGTATATAAAGATGATATAAAAGGACCTATTCCACAGGCCACAGATCTGCTTCCTAATAACTCTCTTCAGCCCGCTCTTTTGAAAACTCTGTTGTCCTCTCCCAATCCCAAGCAGCTTGCCACAGAAGTTGCAGTAAAATGTCTGTCTTTTCCTCCTTTGTGCCCTGCAGTAGCTCAGAACAGGAGGGAGGTAAGGCTAGGCAAAGACAGGCACAAAAGATGCAGGCTTTCATCTCCAAACCAGGCTGCTTGGGAAACACTGGAACGAGGATCCCACAACTGTTCCCTAGCCCCAGCCCAGTGCATTTGAAATGTTGATGCCTCCCTAGGCTAAAGAGTGATGAGTGACTGCCCATGACTGAGAGGAGACAAAGCATGGGGTGCCTTGATACAGAGGGGTGGTATCTTGCAGTGAAAGACTTGCTAAGACTCTCTCTCAGGCAGGTATGCTTATAAGGCAGGAATCTCTACTTACAAGAAGGAGCTGTCATCCTTTGGTATTACAGTCAGCTGCAGGAGCCTGCTTTTCCAGAGGCTGACGTACTTTACTACATGCTTTCCTCTCATCGTCTGAACTGCTGCCACTGCCTGTGCTTGGATTCAGATCTTTGCTGGCATAGTGAATTATTCAAATCAGAAAGGTCAAAGTTATCTATTTTCCTCTTGAACATAAGTTAGGAAATAAGCTGTGTTTCGCTAACCTCAGCTTTCTTCTTCAGAGAAATTTGTGCCACTGTAGAGGGGACTGTATAAAGGCCTGTCTGCAAATTAGGACCTATGTGATGGGTTTAATAGCTGCAAAGTGCTATGTACAAGGACGTTGCATGGAGCTAAATTGTATCTGCATGCTGAGTAATAAATTACTATTTCTTAAACTTACTGTGAAATGTGACTATGGCATTCCTGGGTAATTTCTTCTATTTTTCCTTTGATGTATGTTTACAAAGTCCCACTAAAGAACACTGAATAACTTTTTATATAGGTCTCTCTTATCTTTAAAAATGAAATTCCTTGACTTTCAAGAACATTTTTCTAAGGGTAAAGAGCATACATTCCATAATACTTGTGCTAGTTGGTTCCAGATGCTCTAGCTTACCCCTCCTCTTTTCTAACAAATGTTTTCCCTTTGCTCTCAGTAGTAAAAGGAATGTTCCTCCCTTTTCATCCATTGTCTTTGGCTAAAAGGCCAAAAGGAAACATCATTAGCATATGGTGGAAAAAAAATTCCTGCATGCATCCCTCAGGCACTGCTCATTAAAAGAATACACAGAAATGGCTGAAGTGTAGGTAATGCAATTGGTGTGTAACTCACTATTCCCTGAATGCGTACCTTCCCCTTGCAGTACAAAAATTGAGAAGTATTTGCCTTGTTCAGAGGGTGCAAGCACATGGAGTTCAAGAAAACAAGCCTTGAAACAAAGGGACATGCTCGCAGCACCAAGTGCAGAGGAATTAAATGTTACTTGTTAGCCGGTGACAGGAAATGTGCAACCCACAGCCATCACCACAGCAGAAAGAAGGGTTGTTAAGAGCATACACATCCCTAATGAAAGCTAAATACAAATTAGAGCTAATATGTATGTCTCATATTGGGCATCACAGAACAGTTTTAATCACTGAGCTCCAGGATATTTTGGACTGACTAAAAAAAAATACAAGTTTTTCAGTTAAAACCATATATTGAAACCAATTAATGTCTGATATGCAGCCAGTGAATGCTTGTAAAAATACTTCACCAGGAAAAATAGCGCTGCATCCAGGTCTTAGAAAGAATAGCTTATAGAGCCTTTTTGTTTCAAAATTCATTCATTTATTATGAATAACCTTGAGGTCCAAGATCATAACTGCAGTCTTGTCTAAAGACCCCTGAGCCTCCTTTACAAACAAAGCAGGAATTTGGATATTGTTCCTGTGCTCCAGGTGTAATTTGGACCAGCCACTTTAGGGCTGACCTTTTAAAGGTATCAGTTTGCTGTGTGACTCTCCTCAGAACATCTCAGAACAAACATCTAAGTAATGAGGCATCTAAACTTAATGAACTTGTGTGAAAAATTGACATTTTACAGCTCCTTATCCCCTTAAGCCACTGGGGAAAAGACTTACAGTTCTATGTAAATCACTATTGCCTTTGTCCTGGGTAAAAATGGGACCTCTGTGTGTGTATACTGCTTTATTAGAACAGTCTAAGGTCTTTGCAGAAGCATTCAGTCTCCAGGTGTTGGTCTTCATTGGCCCACATGTCCCAGTCATTCAAAACCAGTTCTTCATCTGAGTTTCCCTTCTAAGGGAATTTTTAAAGCCTATGACTGAAAACTGTGTATGAGTGAATAGGAAACTTCCCTGTCTTGAAATAGCCCCATCCAAAGTGATCACCGATATGTTTTACCTCAACTTTGTGACTTCACTGAGGAGATTTAACTAATTGTACTAAAACCTTGTCATCTGTCCAGGTTCTTATCTTAGCCTCTGTCTGTATGTTCCCATAGTACCACCCCTTTCATTGCCTTCCCAGTTGAATAAAAATCTGCAATTTAAAAAAAGTCCATCACTTACGAGAAAACATTTTACTAGTTCCCCCACGCAAGAGGCAAATTGTGAACACTTTGATTTGTGAAGGCCAAAGAGGTAATTATGTTGATGGGGGCTTAGATGACATACACGCCAAAGAGTAAGAACAATCCCTTCTTGTACTTAGAATTGTGAATCTGTTACTGAGATGGTTCTTTGAAGTTGTAGCAGTGATAAGAACTCTTCAAAATAGAAATCTATAGATCCAGGATGTAATAAATGCATGTATTGGCATTTAGGTCCTAACTGATTAGTACTGTCTAACCTGATTTCTTATGTGCTTTGTGTTCAATTTTAGGCACCAAAGGAAGAAACAAAGGGGAATTTACAAATCTTCAAGGTGTAGCTGCATCTACAAATGGAAAAATATTAATAGCAGACAGTAACAACCAGTGTGTGCAGGTATGAGGATATGCCACTATTCTATAGAATCACAGAATAGTTTGGGTTGGAAGGGACCTCTAAAGGTCATCTAGTCCAACCCCCCCCCGCCATGGGCAAGGACATCTTCAACTAAATCAGGTTGCTCAGAGCCCCGTCCAACCTGACCTGGAATGTTTCCAGGGATGGGGCATCCACCACCTCTCTGGGCAACCTGTATCTTTCTTTTTCTTCCTGCCCCCACACTTCTGCATTCTTTGTACTCCAGGAAAGACACATTTTGTACAATTCAAGCAGATACAGAAAATACAGAGGAAGCTCAACTTGTTTATCACCCGTTATCATTCTATCTTCTTGACCTGCAGCTATCTTTTTCAGATCTACACTATATCTAGTATGTTTATCAGAGTTTATTTCCCTTCCTTATGCTGTTTGGCAATGAATGAAGAAAACAAGTGGTGCAATAATTTGGAAAAATGCCTTTTTGTAAATATCATTTTACATTGTAAATTTATCACTCTGTGTTTCCAAATATAAATCTAGGGCAAGGTGCCACAAATATAATTTCTTACACAAATACAAATATGAAAATAAACATCTATGTAGATGTCATTTTCAAATGGCTTCTAGTCTACTTAATTGACTTTTCTGTCTGATATCATGAGCAAATCTTTTCTGTGGTAGCACCCCTGACACCCATGATTTCTTGGCTTCTGTAACCTGTGTGAAAATCAAGCTGTGTTTTTTCTTTTGCTTGCCATGTATCTTTTTTACCATTAACAATTTGTCATTGCTATTCGGGCTGCCCATGTGGTAGCAATGAACAAGGCAGCAGTGTGTGGCTTGTTCTTCAGTATGTGAGAACCAGCAAGACACATGCAGTAAGAACTCATTTCCAGGCCTTTTCAAAGAGACAGAGTCACATATTCATCAGCATCCTCACACTTTGTAATTTGCAGCCACTTCAGAGGAACTTCAGTGTCTGCCTGGCTTGGGGACACAACCAGTGGACTGAATTTTGCGTGGCTAAAGCATCTCTCAGGAAATGGCCTAGTACTTATCCCTAAGTCAGAGAATTAAATTCTGAAATTCTCTTTTAGCTTCTATTCCTATCTTTTCTACAGACTTAGTGTTTGACTCTGGCTGAGTCACTCAGTGCCTCAGTTTCCTCATTTCTAATATGGAAATAATCCCACTTCCTTCCAGCTGTGAGGGACATTGTGAAGCTTAATTCACTAATGTTTGTAAAGTACTTTGAGATCACTGAAGAAACAGTGCAATGTAAGTGCAGAGAACTTCTTTATTTTGAAATTAGGGTCTAGGTGGAAGCCTTTTCTTAATTTAGGCATACCACTTTCAAATATGGACTGTATAAAAGTGCTTTATGTTCCTAATTCTCTTCCGGACTGTAGTGTTCATTAGTGACTAGCTAAAATCTAAGCTCCAAGAAATAGATGATGTTATTATGCAGACTTAATTTTAAAATGAATGTTTTCTGTTACAGATATTTTCCAATGATGGTCAGTTCAAAAGCCGTTTTGGCATACGAGGAAGGTCTCCTGGCCAGTTGCAGCGGCCAACAGGAGTGGCTGTGCATCCCAGTGGTGACATCATCATTGCAGATTATGATAACAAATGGGTTAGCATATTCTCATCAGATGGAAAATTTAAGGTACGAGTTACCATGTGAACTCTCCTGAGCTTTCTCTGTCTTACAGAGGAATGCAAAGTAATGGTTTTTTTTGGTCAAGAAACTACATAGTTTGGTAGTAAGTTAGTCCAAATTCCATTGTTGTGATGTGGAAACACATGACACAGACACATTGTACAATTAATAGGAAGAGGTCACAGCTGTGGTGCTAATGTCATACCAAATAGAGATGATATGTTCCATTTTACAGTTCTGTGTACGAGGTGCTTGGATGCCTTTCCATAACTTATAGTCAAGGATAGCTAATGTAATCAAGTCTAGTTGGACTAGCTCAACAACCTTCGTATCATTAGTATTCTGATTATACAGTACAGTGTGTGCATATATGTATATACACACAGACAGACGTAAAAACTTATGAGGAGGACGTGAGGCTCTTCAGTGACATATGGAGGAGAAAAATAAGGTAGCAGACTGATGGTTACTTCTTCTATTTACTCCATATTTTTCCTTATTGGAACCATCCTTTCCTGATGGTTACTTCTTCTATTTACTCCATACGAATCAGCAAATCAAGTGTATAATTAATGTATGATCCTGTTGGTAATAAATGCAAGGAAGGGCAACCTAGGATGTTGTTCCCGTGCTACAGCATAGACAGGAATGTTTTAGGTGGGGTGATGTGCACTGGAAAAACTGAATGGCAGTAATAATGTTTTAGGTTTCAGAAATCAGAAGTTCTGAGAAAAGCGCACCTCTTATTTTCATAGCAACTCTGACCCCTTTAATAGGAGTAAAACAAGAAGGCAGCTACTACACTACACTGATGCTTGCCAACCTGCAATATTTATTTTGCTTGGGTTCAGGTGCAATTCCAGAGAGAATTAAAGGTTGCCTCCATTTGGTGCTCTTCTCTGAATGCAGGTTGTATGTATGCTAGAAATAGCCACCTATAGCAGACCGAGTCTGGCGATGTATGCTAGAAATAGCCACCTATAGCAGAGGTTAGCAGTACATACTGTTCAGTGAGATAAAAGACCTGCAGGGAGTTTTCTACCATAGTTAGTTAGTTCTAGAGTCCTGCATTGGAGAGAAATTGCCTGTTTGGCTAGTTTTCTGGCAGCCTAATGACCAAAAAGCTCAGGTCCTCAGCTGCTCACGTGTGTACCAAGAAATGGCCTTCCTTTGAGTAGTCTTTGCAAAGTGACAAATGCTATAGCAAATAGGCAATTGTGCTTGCATAGTCCTCAGTGACCTCCATCTGGGAAACAGACGTGTATGCTTTTAAAAGTATCCAGATCCTATGTAGACTTGAAGCTAAAATAAAACAATACTAATATGCAATGCAAGCATTAAAAAAATATAAATTACTTGCATTTGCAGAGTATGTGATTTTCCTTGTTAAGTAGTTTTGAAAATGTACAGCTACACAGGAAAACTTTGATTTTGGCTGAAGTCCTTGAATGAAATGAAGACACCAAAACAAAACCAAAGAAAGATGTAATTTAGTTAAGAATCCAAGTACTCTGAGTAACCTAAGTGTGTTTTAAATAATTATTAACATCTTTGATGTGAACTGGCTTGATCTGGACACAGAGAATGGAAGGCTCATTTTCCTTCCTTCTCAAGACATGCCGTAAATCCAGCATTTCGGATGGTGCCAGCTCTGGAGGAAAAAGCCATGTCTCTGGAGGAGCCAGGACCCTATGTGCTGCATGTTACCAGCAGGGAGACAGGTATTGAAAAAAATGAGTTATTAAGGTAGTTCCTCTGATGTGGAGCCTAGCTTTGCTTTTAGTCAATGTTTTTGTTGGATTGCAAGAGCTATGTAAAGCTGGCAAAGTTTGTGTGGTTAATACAAGTTAATATATCGGACTTTATAGTTCTTGGGAGTAGACTGATTAAATGAGAGATGAAACGATATAAAAGACTATTTTTAGATTGGATGCAACAGGCTATATTTATGAGAGAAAAATATAAGAATGTTTGTAGAAGCATTTTATATACGGAGGGCAGGCATAATCACATACTTGAAGCACAGGACGCGGATATAACAGATCTAGCCTGTGGGAATCTGGGCAAAGCCTTGCAATTTCTTGTGTGTTGGCAATGGTAATTCTTACAGGGGCTTTGTCAAATTAAATTGGGCAACTCTTGCTAAGATACACAGAGAGACAGATAAAGGGATAATGGTGTTTCCCTTCAAAGGACTGTGCCTGCAAGTCATTGTATAGGATCTCTGATGCAGATGGTCTGCTAGTTGTTAACTCAGCGTTATCAGGGGGCTGTTTTGAACTTAATCTAACTATTTTTGTTGTTGTCCCCTTCTTTCTGTACTTATTTACACTTACTCTCCCTTAGTGGCATTTTAATAGTCACGTGAGCCAGAACGCAAATTTCCCCTGGAGCCAGGCCCAGGCATCTCCCTGATGACAGCACTGGGCTGACTCATTCCAGCAACCTCCACTGCCAGGCAGAAAAGTGTCACCTTCCTCAGTCGCTGGTAGCAACAGAGACAGAGCTCCCTTTTCTCAAGGCTGTAAAACTTGCATAAGGCAGAGGTGGACAAACCCTAATCTAAGGTTACACCAAAACACGAGTCTCTTAAAATGAAAGGCTGTATTATCCTGTGAACGATAAAGCCTCAGATAGGGTCTTAGGAATTGGGGCTTCTGTTTCTGGCTATGCCACGGGTCTCACAGGTGGCCAGTGATCTTCCATTTCACTTCCCAGTGCTTTATTTTCCTCATCTATAAAAGGCAGATAACAGTGCTGGCTTCCTCTGTAAATTACTCTGAAATTGCTTAAGAAAACTGTTAGAGAAGACATATTGCCAGGCTAACGAGAGAACGCATGCTGCAACAGCAGTATCAGCTTCTGCACCAGTGGTAGTCTTCAAACCTAGTGAAGGAACTGGAGAACAGGGCCAAGAGAATGATTCTCAGTCCTCTGAAGAGAGAATTACTTTCTTTCTAGTCTTGAAGGGTTGTATCTAAGATAGCTTATTATCAGCCAAACAGGGCTGCAAGTCAAGTTAAGATCAAGTTTAGATGAGTGGGAAAAGATGAAAGGAAACATTTTATCTGTCAGACTTTCATTTTTTCTTGTCTAGTTAGAAGAATTAAGAAGGGACCTGCTTGAAGCTGGTTGCATGTTCAGATAGGAATAGTTCTGTGGAATGTGGTTAAGTGGTCACAGTTGCATTAAGACAGTCACATGAATGATAAATCCATCTATTGTGCGACATTGCAATGTGTGACAAAGCTGTATCTCTATATTAGGGAAGTTCTCAAACAGGAAAAGAAGGTATGTTGAAAGTCTGTAAATTAATTCCTGACAATTGCAAACCTTTCAGACAGCAAGAAGATTGATTGAGTTAAACCTAAAGCCCTAACACACCTACTTCTACAGTGGAAAAGTCTTTATTAATTTTTATATAGGCTAGCTGATCTTTTTACCTCTAGGAATATCCCACAGTAGAATATTTTCCACCCGGGTAGGGTGACTTTATAAACACATATTTGAAAACCAGTCTAAAATTATAAGAGCCTATAAAATAAGGGACATAATGTCCTTGACTGAATTCAATTAAACACGTTATTTGTATTAAGGGTTCAGATGATTCATTATACTTTATTCATTTCTAATGGCAGAAAAGTCTGAAAATACTTCCATTCATACACTTAACAGGAGTGACTGGGTTTCATAATGTTCTGTTCTAAATAATCAAACCTATAATTCTAAGAAACCTTCTGAAATAAAAATATACAAAGCATATGTTCAGCCAGACCCAGTAATGTGTCATCAGCATATTTTGATCTAAACTGAAAACAGAGATTTTTAGTAAAAAGGACTGCAAACTCTAGCTGGGCATAATTTATTGCTGCCTGCAAATTATATTTTAAATCCTGGCCCAGGAATAGTGATTTTTATTACTCTTCTCAGGACCAAGTGCCCATTTATGCAGTACATGATTTATTCATTTTTTTTTTCATATGTATTTATATGGGCAGGAAGACACTGTACTCATGAGTCTGAGTCATTTTTCCATAGGAGTCCTGGAAAGATGGTAAGGAGGTGGTGCAATGCACAAGCAGACAAACACACGGGCATCCCAGAGGAAAGAAGGGAATATGATTTAATCACCCCAAAGGAAATAAATCCACTGATTTGCATTTGATTTATGTTTTTGCTGCTTTGTTGTTATGCAAACCTGAATACATTTTGTAGGCCTGCTCATGTCTTTCCCCAGTGAACCTAAAGTCATTTTTAATAGTTTTCCCTGGGGATATTTTCACATGATTTAATTAAGTGGTTTTTGCCTAAATATTTAGCAATTTATAAGAGCATATGTACCTGAACATAAAACAGACAGATGATCATTGCATGTTGGCTAAGCATAGTCTTGAAGCTGCAAGATTTACTCCCTGGAGTTTTCTTTATTTGAGGCTGAAAGAGGTTGTGTAGTGGTGACTTTGTACCAGATGGCCTCAGGGAACCTAGATGGCTTTATTTTGGGATGGCTCCTATTTTTACCTGCAACCCCACCTATGTGACTGTACTGTGGAACAGGAGCATGGGGCTTACTAAGGGAGTTGAGCTCCTTCAGATACTAACATGGTTGTTTGCTTTGAAAACATTAGGGAATTGAGAAATGAGTTAGGTAATGGATCTTCTCGTGCCCTGTAATCTGTCCCACCTTGATAATTAGCCACAGACTAACAAAGCTTCAGCTACTCCTCACCACTTGTAAAAGGGAGGGGAGAGGGGCAGAGAAGTCATTGCAAGAAGCATTACTTGTCCTAGGTGGTGATCTGTCCCACCCTGCAAAGGCAGTGAGGTGAAAAAATGGTCTTGTTTCATAAAAAGGACTAATATCTTAGTATCTATTCCATTTAAATTCCTATGGAAACAGGAAATTATGCTCTCCACCAAGGATATGGACCTCAGTTTGTAGGGTCTCTCTCGCAAATTGCTACAGGATCTGAAAGTTCTGGGATCCATAATTTCAACACAGCCTGTTCAGTGGATTGCCTGTCAAGCACAGTAAAGAGGCTGGAAGGAGACCAGACTTTTGGAACCAACCTGCTTCCAAATCTGTCCATCATTTAAAAAAAAACAAAAACAAAAAAACCCAAACAGAAAGCATGTTGCTGCATTCAAAAAACAATCCCCCCAAACAATTAGGTGGTATTTTTATAGCCTTTTTTTAACTGAAAGGTCAAAACTCAACTGATTTTATGTAGATTGGACCAGTTTCTAGAATCTCTGCCTGAAAAAGAGCACAATGGTGAAAAATGTGAAATGGGTGAGGTGATCCTAGAATCTTCTTGGGTATATGCCCAGGTAGCTCATGGGTTCTTTGAAGGCTTTGTCTCAATTTCTGCTTGCTCTGGGCTGGATGGGATGCTGTTGCTTAGATCCCCTTCTTAGATCCCCTTCTTTTTGATCCTACTAAACAATGCTTCTAACATTTTCTGATCTATTTTGACAGCTCTCTAGTCTTTCCAAATAATTCACTGTGTGTGAGATCCACCTCATCTCCACCGAAGGTTTTTCCATTGATGCAATATGGAATACTGTATACAGTTCCCCTGCTGTTGCTGATTATGCTGGCAGATGGTTTTGGTAGTCACAAGGCCTATTTAAAATGTTGGAAATGGTTTTATTTACCTAAGACAGGAGCAAGCCTTGATTTGTTTAGTGTTTCAAAGATTACTTTATTTGCTGTTTAGCCGCACGATCCTATCTCCTTTGCAGGTTTCAGCTGACACTTCATGTGTCTAAGCAGCAAGTGAAGCAATCTCATGTGGATCATGTGTATTGGTGGAAGATATAGAGGTTAGCCTGAGCTTTAGGTCTGCTCAAATTCTTTCCAAGATCACTCAGAAGCTGCATGGTGTCTCATCCACCCAAGAAAGGCAACAGAGGACATCATAGCCTACATCCCACCCAGCTCTGATGCTCCAAGAATGAGCTCTGACTCCTTTGATGTAGCAGGCAGTGGTAAAGGCATGTTTCCCTGTCCATAACCAGGTGGTCGTTGGACTCAGGAATAGTATGCAATAGGAGGCAGAAGTCCTTTATGCCTGTCCTATCCTACTGGTGCACTAGTGCTGGCTATACAGCCATTTGTGATGGTTTCTGACAGATGCTGTAGTTTATCAAGACATAAAAATCTGATGATTGTTTTTCTCATGAGTTGTATATTTGGACTCAGTTGCTGAGGTGGCAGATTTTCCACTCTAGAAAGGACATACAGAAAGCAGTCTTTCTTTTCAGCTGAAGAAAAAATTATGAAGTACACAATAAGAGCTGATAAAAACAATCACTTCCCGCTGGGAAACTTTTGATGACAAAAATGTCTCTCTATCCCGCTGTGTGCCTGTGATGCAATCTTTGAACTGTACTAACTTATTTCTATCACGCCAACATATTTTCCTGTCTTGTGTTTTCCCTTTTAGGCCAAAATTGGGTCCGGAAAGCTCATGGGCCCTAAAGGTGTTTCTGTGGATCGTAATGGACACATCATTGTAGTGGACAATAAAGCATGCTGTGTTTTCATCTTCCAGCCAAACGGAAAAATAGTCACCAGGTTCGGTAGTCGAGGAAATGGTGACAAGCAGTTTGCAGGTACACTTGATGGTAATATGTAAACCCCCTTTTCTTGCCTCTTCTGCTCACATTTGCATGATGTTTGAGCATGTTGAAGACGCTATATCCTACTCGTTTTTCCTGGGGTGGAAAGGTTCTACTAAACATACAGCTCCTATTCACTTCACCATTTGTTTAATTGGTCAGGAAGACTGCAACATCTGTTCTGCAAATGTAGCTGTAACCAGATTGTTTTAGCTGCCTCTCTGTGCCTGGAAGCATTTCAAATCACTGACCCAAGAAAGACTGATCTTAACTAGCATTTAATAAATGCTTTATAATGCCCACACTCAGCTGTTCATGATAATCAACTCAAACACCATGCTTTGCATTTCAAATGATCAGATACACATTAACCAATGCCGTAAGTGGTATCTCCCCATTAGAAAATGAGTGTAACGGGATAGTGTTAAGATTGAGATCAGGAAGTTGCAGTTATGCAAACGGAAAATGCCAGTTTGGGGAAATTGCCATTTATATTCAACTGACTGCTTGCACACGATGTCTTTTAATTAGAACATGCAGTTAAGCTTAAAAAAACCCAACTGATATATTTTGAGTGAATAGCTGTTCTTTCACAATTTGAAATGAAGATGCCAAATTACATATGCAGGTCATTTTGCAGGTGTTGGGTCGCTCTGAATAAGTAGTTATAGATTGGTCTCATGTTCTGACTGGTTCACAGCACAAGAGAGAAATAGCATCAATGGTATAACTGCTTTTATCTTACTTGAGATGTCTTGCAAAGTCTTGGGGCACAAGTGCCATATATATAATTCATGAGAGCTTTGGCTCTAACACAGCTAAGTGTCACCAAAATTTTCTGGGTATGTCCAATTTCTGTAATTTTAAAATTTGTAAGAACACCTCCTGAAAATAAGTGTGCAAATACTCTGTAACAGTGCATTTGAGAAATGTATCACCTCTTCTTGATGGTAGGTTACATACAACAGGTGAATTGTCATTACTTGAATGTTTTCAGTGTAAAGGTTTTCACCCTTTTTATAGTTTACACTGATGTACTGTGAAAATTAAAACCGAGTTCTGATCTGTTAAATAACTCAAAATAGCACCAAGTATTTTGATTCAGGTACTTGCCTGTTTTCAAGCTACCATTTGTTTTTTATTCAAGTTTGTGCACATAGTTCAATACACAAAGTAAAGTGAAAAATGCACTTTTTTCCCTGACAGTGTTCTTCTAAGTAACTTTTGTATTTCTCCTAAAACTTGTTTGCTCAAATGCTTGTAAGAAGTGAGCACACAAATCATGGAAGATTTCAATTAAGACTTTACATGAACATTTTTGAGAACTATTTTCAGTGTATACACAACTTTATGCCTAAGCACGACATTTTTGTCTTGTTAATAAGCACATAAATATCTACGTAGTCATCTGTATACGAGAGAAGAAGGAATGAACAATGCTTATTGATAACACTAGTTGACAACTTGTTGAAAAAGAAATTATTTATGTTTACAAAAAGGCATGCTGAGCTTTTTAAAACATGAAATGAAATTACTCTTAATTTGAAATTGATATTCCCAATTTGACTATTATTGCTCAGAAGCCAAATATAATATTCTGGCAGGCTGAATAGTTTTTCTGATTTCAGCAAACTTTTTGATTTAGTGGTATTATTATTATTATTATTTTTCTTCCTATTGCAGGTCCTCATTTTGCAGCTGTAAACAGCAACAATGAAATTATCGTTACAGATTTTCATAACCATTCTGTCAAGGTACTGTCAATTAATGGCAACTTGGAAAGCTTTTTATTTTATCATGGTACTTTCTTGGGGAAAATAAAGTATTGTTAAGAACAAAGAGATCACACTCTATATGTATGAGGTCTGAGGTAAGGACTGCACGTTCAGAGACCTTTGCATGCAGTGCATTGCTTAATGGAGATGTAATCCGTTGCCTTTGTTGCCACTATAATGTTCTCTAATTCAATTGCTTAAATGTAAGTTGTACCTGAGATAAATAATATCAACTTAGTTATTTTTATTAGCTCTCTGCCAAACCTGTTATTTACCTTATGTTCTTTCCTATTTTAAGTAAGTCTGGTAACTGCTTTTGAATTTCCCAGTAAAAGCTTCCCACATTTCCAGTTGAATAAAATTATAACAAAGTAAAAGATACCTGACAATGTTTAATTCCATACCTATAAGCTTTAAGATTACTGGATCCATTTACAACCCGATACTCTTAACAACTGTGTAACACAGACCATCAGTTTTCATCCAGTACCTCCTGCACTGGGCAGAACTGGCCACTAGTCCTTACGCCTATGGGAAGTCCTGACTCATGGCCTGTTAAACAGTCATGGTAAGATAGGGTGGTATATTTGTTTGTCCCAATAATAAACCAAAACAAGGATACATGTTGAGATGTCATGTGGGGGAAAATGTATGTGAAGGAGCTACAGGGCATTTCAGAAATCACTCACCTGTGCATGTTTGTTTTCAGGCCATGACACTCCCTTTCAGGCACTTTCTGTGCCCTTTTTCCCTCTCTCAATACGCAGCAGCAGCAGCAGGAGGACACAGGCAGCAGAACGCCGTCCTGCCCAGGTTCTCAGGCCATGTGCACCGGTCCCACACACCGGTGAAATCCCTGGGATTTCACCTAATGGCTGCCTGTTCTGATTGAATACAAAGATAAACCCTCAGTCCAGTTCTTCAGTGTTCATAACTGAAATGATAAATCTTATGTTTTCACCTGAAATAGGAAATCACTGTCTGAGCATAGATACCCTCGTGTCCTGAGTGGCGCTGAATCATCTAGCTTTTGAATAGCGACCTTGCTCTTGTATCCTTTTGGAACTAGAGAGGAAGTAGCAACTCATGTGGTTTGGATTACAACAAAGAAACCAAGACTGCTGCAGGAGCCCTAAAGCAGATTGTTTACGTGGTTTAGCAGCAGGAGGCCTATGACTCCATAAATTACCCCTCCGCCAGGGCTTACCACGGTAACAAGAATGCCTGGAGAGAGTTAACAACGAGGGCAAACTAAAATGAAAAAAAGCAAGTGAAGACATGTAAGAAGTGTGGCATCTTAGCGAATTCATAATTATTGCATTCCTAATGAGAACAGAGCATTCCCGTCTGTCTCTGGTGTGACTCAAAGGGATAAAAATGTTATTTGTTACAATTTGGTACTAACTGGAAAAGAGTCTTATTTTTGTAGTGTTCTCTAAATCGGTACAGCTAATTGTTGACACTTTGGAGAGCAGTTTATAATCTGGGTGATGCTGTTGTCTTTTGTTAGATGGTGTGGAAAGAGCAGAGAGTAAATTTTGTTTTAAATAATAAATAAATAAATACATTTCACTCTTTGGGTCCCAAAGCCTCTTCCTGCCACCAGAGTCTTGAAATAAACATCCTCACTCAGCAACATTATCCTCCCTCCTCCATTAACCTTCAAGCACCGTCTTTCCTTCAGGCATCTTCTATGGAAAACCCTACTCAATGTAGGCTTCTCTCTCATTCGTCACTCACCATCCCCATTTTAACCCAGGGAGAGAGCAATACATCTTTGCCTGTTTTTTTTCTTATTAGTTGACTTTTTTCTACCTTCTTTCATCATCTGAGGCGCCAACCTGGCACTTCATTAATTTCCTCCCCCAAATGCTTTTTCTCTGTTCACTGCGGGTGTTCAAGAATAGGATGATTTCCTCACATCTTCCACCTTCTTAGCACGTCAGTGTGCGCTTGGCACTTGTCAGGTCTTTGCATTTTCTTTTGCAAGCCACAGCTGGTCTCTAAGAACGCTGGACCTCATGGCACAGCTGGGCCTGGGTACTATGGTACCCATAGTACCCTATGGTACTATGTAAATGACACATCCTGTATCTCACTTGGTCCCATTGGTGCATCCAGGTCACTGACAGAATAGTCATTGATCGGTTCCATCTTTCTGCTGTCTAAACCTGTTACTCACCATCACAGAGAATTCAGTTGCTGAACTGTCTATGCAGAGAGCAGCACGCCGTCATTCTCAGTATGTGTCAGATTATGAAAGTCAGAGAAGAATGCATCTGCTCAGCTGTGTTTCTGTAGGACTGACTCCCAGTGCTGTATCTGCACTCAGCTCTTCTTAATTCAAGATGCACAAGCTGCAGAGGGGTTCCTGGGGCCCTTCACCTCTGTGTCTGAGGTGAATCTGATCTGAAGTGAGAAGGGAAATACTCTGTGGTGTAATGGAGCTGGAGGGAGAGATGGGCACCTTTTCTCCCATCTTCAGTGTGTATGTGTGTGTAGGGGGGGGGGGGGCGTGATCCTGGGGGCTTT